CGGACAAGACATCAAGTGACTTCGGACAAGATCACATCATTCAATTGGTTGAATAATAACAAAGTAAGTACATTGGAATATATCCTAGTGGGTTATTAATCTGAATCTTCAGTGTGTTAAAGCTTAACACAGAGATCTATTCATTCATTTATCGTCATCACTGTTTTCAGATTTCATGCAAATATTGCATTGCAATCCCGATCCCTTTTTACAGCCGATATAATGATATCTCAGACAAAATCTGAAAGATTTTTATAAATCTTGAATAATTGAAAAAGATTCATATTTGAAGATATAATTTATTTCGTTATAAATACTATGCAGAGCTACATGTATAAGATCTATTTCATAAATTTATGAAACAGTTAAAACATAATTTTAATCACACCAATGTGGCAATCAATATTAAGTTCTTAACACCCACAAAGAGCTTGTTCATTTTCAGTAATAAATGTCGTCAAGTGATCGAGGTACTCCATGTAGTCTTGGGCTCAGTTTTTAGTGGGACTACTTCTTCCTTGTAGCCAGGGTTGACAGGGGAACATCACTGTCACTGTCACTGTCCGGGTCAAATCCTCTGTTGTCAACCCCACTGTAAAAGAATGAAAAAAAAATCTATTCATTATATGATTGAAATCATTGTTCAGGATTGATCTAGCCCTTTTCTTTAATCACAATTTTTCGATCTCTGTTTGCAACAATTATATGAAAAATAAGATGTTATACACACATAAATTTATCAACATAATTTGACCAGTTAGTAATATGCGACTCTGACATCCTCAAAATTCAAGTAAAATTATTATGAGAAAAAATGCATTTTGATGAGTATGACCATAGTCACAGAACTTACACATCATGTAGATCAGTTGAAAGATCTCCCTGGAGTAAACGCTCTGTTTCCTCATCACCAGTGGGAGAAGGCTGTCTGTTTTCCTTGTCAGATCCTGATTTTTTTTTCTTAATGACATGTCGCACTGGTATTCCATTGCTGGTTGCATGAGACCTGTGAGTGAAGTGGAGGATTAAAAAATATAAAATGATAGCTTGTGTATTTGTATTGTTAAAGTACTATGTTTTTAACACAAAAAAGTTAAGTTCTCAAAATATGCAGTATTGCGAGTACCTCGCAGTTATCTAACTTACTACGCTCTTTTGTGTGGGAGTCGAAAAAGCTCTAAATCTCGCAAGATTTTTGGGGCATAACATTGTTTACATGCAGTACTGACAATCTAATGATTTGAACAATCATTATGCCGAAAGTACAATGTATTGCTGAGGATTTAACTCAAAATAGTAGACTGTCAAATTCGAAATTCACCTTCCAAAAGTAACGATTTTCATAAAGAAATGGTTGAATTTAATGAGAAGAGTCCGCTAAGTGAAAAGTATGGTAAAAGATGTAACATATGAGGACTAACTCCTTTAAAAGTTTTATTAGGCTTGTTCAGCAAGATATTACACTAGGATTTCTTTCTTATCTGTCTTTATAAATTTCATAATGATCGATCTCATATTGTATTCAATAGCACATTGCCCCCCATCCAACAGACATTTCCTACCTCCACTGCGAAAGAGGGTATCGGGTCCGTTCGCCCTATCTACCTGTTCGCATGAGTCCGTTCGCGCAGGGTCCGTTCGCCCTAATTCTGGTTTGCCCTATTTCTCGTTCGCCCTAATATATATGCATATATATACAGTATATAGTTAATATTATTATTTATCATCATTTATGTTTTATTTTATTTATTTTATTCAATATTTTACGACTTCGTGTTTTTTTTTCTCTTTTCCCCCAGTTAATAAATTTGTTCTTTATTAAACTACATGCTTAATTGGTTTAATTATACTTAATAATGTCACTGCAATTTCGGGGATCATATCCGTGTTTTTTTAACAATCCGCGGTATGTTTTGATAACAATTAAAGGACTGAGACGTTAATAGGCCCATTATGGAGCTGAGCAACGGATAAGCAAGGTTTTACCTTTGAAGATATGAGACCTTTGATCTAAAAAATGATATATAGGAAGAAGGAAGATGAAAATTCATCAAACTATTATCGAAAAAAATCCATTGGTTCATTATTCAACTTTCCGCAATATAAATAGAGCGAACGGACCCTGGGCGAACAAGTTTTAGGGCGAACGGACTCTGGGCGAACGAGAATTAGGGCGAACGGCGTCAAGGGCGAACAAGTTTTAGGGCGAACGAACATACAACCGCGAAAGAGTTCCACAAAGTTAAGTAATTGTGAAATCAAGTATTTCTTTAATCCAATGTACTTATCACACTGACTTCATAGATAACTTTGTTTTATAATAATTATTATAATGACTTTGGAACCTCAGAATATACCTTTTTTTGGCATAGTATCTCCTCCATTCCAGGGATTTCTTAAGTCTGTCAGAAATCTTCTTTTCCTCAACTGTCTCTAGTGTGGAATTTACACTGAGATAACTCCTTATCTCTGAAACAGCTGCGGGTAGGTGGCGATCCTTGGCACTGACCAGCTGATACTTTTCAATGGTGCTGTTGATCATTCTCTGAGCAAAAAAAAAATAATTCTAAATTAATTTTTTCCATGCATTCATATACATTGTCAATTTATGTATATATATATATTCAGTTGCTTGATTTAATTGGTTTGAATTTTGCAAAAAAGGATCTTTAATTCTTAGTTTTTTTTTTTCATTAGACAACTTTTCCTTTTACATTTGCATATCTTGATCAGTTTAAAATGACTATAATGCAATGGATAAATTAATAATTAATGCACTTTTACATGTTTGAATAATATTCACTCATTTTTATAGGTACATGCCTACATATAAATCGCATGACACAAAAATATAAAAGAAAAATCTAAAACAAATTATTCTGTCAATCAAAATGGCCTGAATACTGAAACATTGTTTGAACAATTGACAAAATTAAGGGATTCCAAATAAAAATAAAAAAAAAAAAAATAACCAAAATACTAGATTCTAGCTTTAACATTGTTTAAATTCCATTTCAAATCCATTTCAAACCTGACTGTCTGTAAAGTGACTGCAGGTACTGATTTCAGGTCTTTTACAATTTAGTTTGGTTATACATGTTATATGCGACAAATGTACATGATATTGTAATTACATATATATCTTTAAAAATATCAAAATTTTAATCTTGATTAATTACTTAACAAATATTTTCTTCAAAATTCATTACATATGAAAAAAACTTACAAATTTCAATTATATATATTTTTTTTACTGCTACACATGTATCTTAGATCTTAAGATATCTTTAAAAAAAAGAGGTTATTTAAAGTAAATTGTTCCAGATGTTTACTTTATTAAATAAGCTGTTGTAAAATGTACTCATTAAAACTCCCTTAAAAACATATTTAAAAAAAGGTGAATATATATTCTTTTGACCACACATTCTGAGTAAGAGGGGTGGATAATTTTGTCTGTACACTAATTGGATTACAAGTTTTCATGTCATATAAATTTATAATGTTTTATTTTATTAAATAAAGTAATTTATTTTGAACATTTGGATTCTCATGTAAAATAAGTGTATAAAGTGCAAACAAGTCCAAAGACATATTTGAAAGTTTCAGGTATTTAGATCATAAAATTAAAATTACCTGCAGTGCTGCATGTTCAGAAGTTCCTCTTTTCCACAAATTTTCCTTTACCATAGACATTGGGACTGTGTCATATTCCTCTGTCTGTGTTGCAGTGGACTGCTTTGGATAGGCACATGAACAGTAGTTGCCAAGTTGCATACGAGCACAACAAATACAGTTGAAACCACACTGTCTGTTATACACCTGCACTGAATTTGGGTATGGATGGGAGTTTACACCAAAGTCTTGATCTTGATTAAAGCTCAGAGATGAAAATAGGGGGTTCACATTTGCACTGGTAGACATGATGGCCAATATTTCCACAAAATGAACACAGTCAATTGAAGTTTATTGTTAGTCCAAGTGTTGTCAAAGTACTGAATGATGACTGTAATTGACAACATTCTTTGTGCACTTAAGAAGTAATTGGTGTTCTCATAATTAAATGAATTAAACCTTTTGAAAATAGGTACTAGGTATTTTGTTTTCATTGATCTCCCTAAATGATTTTAAAATTGTTTTTACTGCTATCACAACATGCATGCATGGTTTACATCTAATTATCATGATTAATTATATTTTATAAATTATTTATCTTTTTTTTAATTATTTGGATGCTGTAAACTAATTTTAAACACCTTGGAATTGTTAATATAAATTCCATTGTAAATGTAATGAAGGATTTGACTTCTATCTAAAATTATGCATATACCATGTATACTGAACAGGACATACTTTTAATTTTAAAATTTAATTAAATCCATGAAATTAAGAAGGATTTAATGAAAAAATCTCAGAATTTCACTGATGTTAATTCAAAACTGGAGCAAAATCCAGAAGCCTGTTAATTCAGTGGCCCTATACACATACAAATCCCTTGCAATTGATGTTGGGTACATCAGTTAGTTGATCATCCCCTTTGATGCTATAATGTTATGCAATATTAACAAACACAGTAGCCCATTCCTCTAGTTCATCAGTTTATCCAGCATTTCAGCAAGGAAAGACATACTGCTAGCTTAGTTTGATTTTATTTATAGCATGCAATGTCTCTTAGTACTTTTGTTTATATGTACAATTTTCCGAGCAGTTATGGAGAAAGTAAATAATGGTAATTTATGAATATATATTTTGATATTAAGTTGTTTTTGTTGACAATTTTTAATTCAGTCATGAATAATACACTGATAATGATAAAACTTGATTATGAATATGTAATACTTAATTTTAAAGACTACTAGTATTTTTTTTTTTTAAAATTTAATCAATCAGATGTTTGATGTTTGGGAGCAGTTTAAGAACTTGAGTCAAACTGTGTGTTAAATTTCCTTCACTTCAAATCTAATATGTCAATCATTATTTTATTTCAATTGTTTCAGGTTCTCAGAGATTCTGTATATGCTGGGAGTGTCAAGGAGCATGGGTTTCCAAGCATACCTTCTATTCACATCAAGAATATATCACAAACAGTTTTGCATCTGCATTCAAGCCAAGATTTGACCTGTCCTTGGATTTGTACCAACAGAAGAAGTATCAGCAGCCACTCTATGAGGGTTCAACCACAAATGTATTGGAGGCAGTGACCAAGCACTTGTATACCTTTGCTATGAACCATGGAATGTCCAAGACAGCACTTTCTGACACTCTTCAGTGTGAAAAATCATCGTTACCACAACCAAACTATCTTCCTGGGTCATACAAGGAGGCAAAGGCATTTATTTCTCCATTCCTTATGCCACTGGAAAAATATGATGCATGTGTAAATGATTGTATTGTTTATCGGGATTCTGGAGCCCTTCTTTACTCAGCTTTAAGTGACTGTCCTGTATGTGATGAGCCCAGGAAGAGCAGGAAGATATTTACATACATGCCCCTTGGACCTAGGCTAGCCAGATGGTATGGGACTCCTAACTTATGCAGACTACTGTATGCAGAAAAAGTTCATGTAAAAAGAGATGGCATTCTCAGTGACTTCACAGATGGTGAACTTTTTAAATCATGGTTTGAACCAGGAGAGATCTTTGAAAATAAGAATCCAGAGTTATGTGTGCCACTCTCATTGTTTACGGATGGTGTCAATCCTAACAAGAACAATGTTTGTCAGAAGTCCATGTGGCCCATCATGTTGACGTGGATTACTTTGCCACCATCAATCCGACAATTGCTTGGACCAATGCTCCTTATGGGAATTATACCAAGTGGAGTAAATGGCTGCGAACCAAAATCATTGGATCCATGCCTATCCATTGTGGTAGACGAACTTCTGACTCTCACAGAATTCCCGGTATATAATTCATACCTATCAGCTCCAATGATGGTTAAAGTTGCACTCCTGCAGTATTTGTGTGACATTCCTGCCTATTCCAAAGTGATGCATTTGACCGGTCACGCAAGTTTGAGATCTTGCCCATACTGCAGAGAAAAAGGACACTACTGCAAGCATTTAAGGAAGACAATTCACATTTCAAGCAGACAGTTTCTTCCCTTTGGTCATCCTTTGCGGAGTGCCCGGGGATTCGCCATAGATGGACAAGAAGAAAGAAGCAAACCAACTCCATATACTCAGGAGGAGGAGAACAGAATGCGCATCCAGTATGAATTAAAACCAAACAAAACACAGAAAGCAAACCAACAGAAGTCAACAGGGTTGAAAGGAAATTATATTCTACAACAGCTTCCTTACCACAACAGGATTAGACAGATGTCACCAGATGGCATGCATACCTTGGCAGACTTTATCAGTCACCTGATGGAAATGCTAGTTGGTAAACAGAATACACAAAAAGTCATGTCATGTGAAAAGAGTTTTGGCCGCTTTGATGAAGTTTGGACAAGAGGTGCTGAGAAGCAGGCCAGTATTGATCGCCCCAAAAAGAAGAAGAAAGGAAATGATGAAAGTGAACAGACAGTAGTTGATTCAACACCGTGGTCGCTGACTAAGGAGCAGATTAAAATTGCAGATGAAAGAGCTTCCTCCATTGTGTACAGCCACTCACATGAAATTACTCCAGGGCCACATTTTACCAAGCTATGGACTTTAAGGACAATGAATGCTAAACTGCAGGTTAGTTATAATTTGTATAATTTAAGCTAAAAGTATATAATACAATCTGAAAAGTGCTCCATCTACAAGATATTATAACTCTTTAATCATGTTAATGCATCATTTTACTTGTAATTTTTAAATTTTTACTTGACACATGAATGTATGTTTAACATGATTTTAAAAGCACTACATTTTTAAACCAAATTAATGGATATCAAGAAAAGATCCACATGTATTTACTGTGAGTTAATTAATAGAATATTCCGAATATATCACTTAAAATGTTAATTCTAAGGCATGTGGGAAATTAACTTTTACCAATGTTTACATGGAAAAAGCAACATTAAATCAAATTCATTTCAAAGCACATTAAGATTTATAAATAGGTTTATATATTCAAATCATCAGGAATTTTACTTGGAATTTCTACAATTGTCTATTGATATTGTAATTGCAGTTTGTCACTTCTGGGGCTTTTGAATGGTGCATCAAGGATCTTCTTCCTATGACTCAAGAAAGAACTCTGCAACAACTCTGTGATGTTATAAGAAGAATTGTGTCGCCTAAGTTGACCGTTCTTGATCTTGCCCATCTCCAGGCAGACACGCATGAAGCTCTATCTTGTCTCGAGAGAGATTTTCCTTTGGCAATGCAGGTGAGATGTATGTAATTCGCACATGTTGGAATATTCGCCACAAGTCCATAGTCAAATGAGATTTACCAAATATGGGGAAATTGTATACTAAAAAGTTTTTATTGAGCAACTATATAATTTAGAAAATGTGATTAATTCAATAGATGACATTAAGTAGACAAAATTCACTATTAAACCATGATCATTGGTTAAGCTTTTGAAATGAAATGTTGTAATCAATTGTGAAAATGTTAAAAAAGGATGAGCACTGAATTTAGTATTTTCAATTATGGGCCTAATTAATTTACTCTGAATCTTAAAAGATTATGATTGATTTTCTATCGGTAACCAAGGACATTGCATTAATATTTTTTATGTGGATTTCAGAACCTTACTACTCATCTCATTCACCACATTGTGGATGATTTGGCAAACTACGGACCCATGTATGGCCGTTGGTTGTTCCCTTATGAAAGAGCTAATGGATGGGTGACAAGACAGTGTCTGAGGAAGGGAATGGAAGAATCCACAGTCATGGAAACATATGTGGTAAGATAGACTTTACAATTCCAAAACTATGTGTAGATTTTACTTGGAAGCCTAAAATGAATGAGTAAATGTGCATGAAAGTATTTTTTTTTACTAGCAAACACATTGTTTTATATCATTGTTTATATCATAAATAGTTGATAATTTAACTAAAGGTGAATAGTGCATGAGGATTAAGGAAACCCTGAATATTTTCAACCAAAGAAGACTATTATCAACTAAGGTGCACTCAAGGTTGCAATGGTTTTTGATTGGTGAAAATTTTAAATGCTACAATGTTTGTTACATTATACTGAATGTAATAAAGAAATACATATTTTGGTGCATATTATTTATTCAACATTTTTAAAACTGTTCATCCTAAAGCAAATCCATGAATAATGCACATGGCATATCTTGATATTAAAGGAGATGGGTGAACAAGGCATGCAGAATGGCAAGAATGCCTACACATGTAGCTTCAGATGTATAAAAATCATATTCACTTTGTGAATTAAGCATTTAGAGTAAAGTTCTCTTTATTAAAAGTTTTGAGATTACAATAAAGAAAACTTTTCTGAGGAATATTTTTTGGGCAAAATTGCCTTGTTCACCAATTCTCTTGTATATCCTAAATATAGTGCTTTGTGTTTCTAAATGTTATGAACTTAATTGCCACTAGTGATGTTCTGATTAATTGATTAAATCGTAAAATCAAATATCTAATTGAAATGGCCACCAATCAGTTATTAATTGATTATAGAGTGTCTGATTATTCCAGTAATCAATTATGAAAAAAAGTCTGATTTCCCATCACTACCTGCCACTGTACATGAAACTGGCCACAAATGATTGACATGCAAATAAAAGTATAATTGATTTGTAGGGAAAACCCCTAATTTTAAAGGCTTCTTTATTTACACTATACTGATCTGTAGTGTTATTTTTTTTTGTTTCTAGATATATGACTGGTGTGTATATATGATACTCAGTGGAAGGTTCAACCCTGGCAACCTGTCTATCAATGAAAAGACCCTTGTAAAAACTAGTCAGCAGATCATGGAGCAGATGAGAGATGGATTCAGCTTTTCTCCTCAAGAAAACCACACAAGGAAGAATACCATATCCCAAATTACACCAGAAATGAGGCAGTTCATGATGAACTTTTATCTTATAAACCTTAAGTTAAGCACATTGCAGTTTTCATCTGAAGTGACTGAAAACTATTCAACACTGGACATTACAGATGAGTGTGGCCGACAGATCCGTTATATTGGAACCCGATTCAAGGGACGCAGAGAACCTTCAGTTGTCAAGCTTCCTGGAAGTGGTGGACTTCTCTTTGGACAAATATGTTTCTTTCTTGAACACATGTTATGTGGAGCAGTCCAAAACTGGGTTATTGTAGATGTGTATCCAATTGCCGAAAAAGTTGGGAAGTATTTCTTCTTCCAGGAAAATATACTAGGACAGCAGCTGTTCCATGTAAGTGTAATCAGCAGGCCCCTTGTTCACATGAAGGACAACGGTGTTTGGATTATCAGTGCTTAGCGGGATACATGACTGTCTGTAAATGTTCTTATGTTATGTCTTTGCTTTCAGAAGAATAGCATATACAATGTACATATATATATATATATATATACATGTATATATGTACGGATAATATGTCTTTTAAGACTCTGTGTTACTGTTTATGTGATGTGGTGTGCATGTATACATGTGTATAGAGAAACTGAATCAAAGCACAAAATAGCACAGTCTTGTTTACTTTTTAAACACAAGTTTATGCTGAAGGCAAAGAAAGCACCTTGAAATCCACTCAGGTTTTCCTTTCTTTTTTATACCAGTTTATGTTATTTTTTTTTAAATCTAGTTATTGATGTATTTACAAAATTAAGTTGAAATGAAATATCAGAGTCAGTGTTTTTTTTTAATATAGTACATGTGTATTCCACTTCTATATGTGATCTTTTATTTATACAGTCAAATTACAACAACAACATTCTCAGACGTATCTTGTTGTATGTAGAAAGTTAAACAAGTACTGTAATCAAATTTGTCTCCCATCAATGATCATGATGTGATAAAATGCATATATTTGTTATCATGATGATTTGCATGTTTAAATGTGTTTACTTTTGTATGTGCTCAGTGTGGTTGAGAATGAATTCCAGAGTATTTTACTGCAATAAAGAAATTTATTGATAAGCTTTGACTTTCTAGAGAATCAGTGATCCACAAAAAAACAAGTACATGTACCAAATGACTGTTACTAAGGGTGAAACAAAAGATCCATGTCTGATCAAAACTAGTACATGTACTAATAATAGAAGGGAAGGGGGACAAGTATGGTCGACTTTAAAATAATGTTTGCTTGCCCTCTACCAACTCAGGATGAAAACTTGGGTTGGGAAGTAGGTGGGATTTTTTTTTCCCAGAAAATTTCAACTTCAATTTTGAATTTCAAAATGTATTTTCGGCAATGCATGAATTTTTTTTTTCTTGGAGGTAAAAAAAAAAAAAAAGATAAGTCGGTTCTTTTTAGGCAGTCTTTCAGGAGAGGGCAACCAAACATTTTTTTAAGGATGGCCTGGACACAAGTTTTTGCTGTCCAGCATTGGGCCAACATTGATTATAGTAAATACTTTCTTATGAGACTTTATGATAATTGAATTGGTTTCTTGATGAATAAGCTTTTTACAAGAAGATAATAAGTTACATATTTATAATGTAAAAAATGCTAGGATTTGAATCGACGTTTTACAATGTCAATCTTGTAAAGGGGGGGGGGGGGGGGGGGGGGCTTTGTTAAGAATGAAATTTCTGTCAGACAAAGAACTTTTGATCTTGCTCTTCGATTTTATAGATTTTCAAATACATTAAAAACTGCCAGCAGTTCAATACAAAAACAACCTCAATTAATAAGATTAAAAGTGTATTCCGAGATTAAATGGTTGCACAAATACCCCCCTCTCAGTTTCTGTTTAAATCGCGTGTCTTGAAACCCCATTTCAGCGATTCTAGTATTGCGACGTTAACCATGAAAAATTTAATCATATAACATATATTTGTTTAATTTATTTATTGTACTTTTTAGTAACGTTAAGAACTCCACGATACATATTATGCGGATGTTATAGTAATTTACTGTACATGGATTTCAGTAGTGATGAGATCTCCAGCATACAGGCTGGGGTAAACCGTGAGTCATGTATTTCTCTGCTACAGATGTGGATTCCCATTTGGCCATGAATGACCATTTGCAATTAAAACTATAATTGATGCTTGTAAATAGAGTTCACAACAATCTCGGGCCTTCCGTCTTTGAAGATTAATTAAGGCTGAATTACATATCAGATCAAACAATTTTATCGTTGTCAAACTGACAAAGCTGACATGTTCAAAATAGATGAAAAATCCCGATGGAAATATTGTTTAATCATTAACTCTTAATAATTTATCTATTTTAATTTAAAAGAAAATAGTTTTAAAGTTTAATTTCAGATGTACATGTACACGTGTGTAGAAAGTGTGTATTTAGATAAATTCATTAGTTATAATATTACATTCTCAAGTAAACCTACCTGTACATGTATATAAGTTTCTATTTACTTGTGTAGATGAGTTTTAAAGCTCAAAAGTTAATTTAACATTGATCAAAACTGAACTTGAATCGAATATAAAGGAGACATCTACATTATTTGTATATAAGCCCCCCCCCCCCGAAATATTTCCAAATAATTAATAAACAAGCGGTGTTAAAGCACTATGTTTTAAATATTTTTATTGTCCAGACACAAATATTGCATTATTAATCAGGCAAACAGTAGTTTACTAAATAATGCAATGATTGAATAAATAATTAAACAAGTGTAGTATATTATATTTGAATTTTTCTGTACTGTTCGTAAAAATTAAATATGCTACATTGTACTATACAGTTATTATAGCCTAAACTTTGCAATTAAGTGGTCTAGGTGTTTAAAAAATGCACGCTTTGATTGTTTATCAATAGTCTGGCCATTTGTATCGTTTTTTTTTCTTGTGCAGGTGGCGACAAACCCAAAAGAGTAATAATCTCACTTCGTCGGGGGAGGGGCGGGGCTGTAAGTTTTCGTCTTTTTTTTATGTGCAATAGTATAACGTGACAAAGTTCGATCCATACCAAAAGTGGGGGAGGGAAATGACCTTTGAAAAGAAGAATCAGTAATAAATATGCAGCAAGCTAGCGCGCCTTACATGTACCTGAAAAAAAATGGGGTTGGGTGGAGCCAGCACCTTGTAATATATGTATATCTAACAAATCAACACTTTTCTTAATAACATGAAAAAAAAAATTCATTGAATTAAAGTATAATATTATTTATTTTAATTAATTAATTAATTAATTTATTTATTTATTTATTTATTTATTTATTTATTTATTTATTTATTTATTTATTTATTTATTTTTTATTCATTCACTCATTCATTCATTCACATATTTACAAATGTATTTGTTCATTTATCTCTTATGTTAAATTGCAAAATCAAGGTGATTTTCAACAACTATTTCAAAAGCAAAGACCATTTGTTGAAAACTGACAAATTATATAGAGAGTCACGGATTGGACGAAGGCGAGAACTAAGCACCTCCCCTTTTACTCTGATCTGAGGAAAGCATAGGGTAAATTGCTTTGACGGGTTCTAAACAATAAGCCTTAATTACGAGTGGTCAGAGATCTACACAGAAACTGTTAAGAACTTGCATTGGACTAGCGATGACAAAATGCGCTGAAAACAGAAAATAAACATGCAGGAAATTTGGGGGGAAAATGAATAAGATATCACCTTAAACAACACATTTAACCTGTTGAAAAATATTATTTATATTTTAGTATTATAATAATATACTGTTCCGTAATACTATTTTTTTAAGATTAGCAAAATGATCATTAATTATTCTATCCTGCATTGTTTGTATCCTTTCCTTTTTTCAAATGATAATAGGATACGTAACTTGTTAAGTGAAAGAATAAGTTAGAGAATAAAATGTTTTATTTTTTGTCTGTTCATGCAGGAATGAACGGTTTCAGCTATTGCACATAAAAAATGTATAATCTGCAGAACCCTTAATCAATTGTCATGTAAAAATTTTGCATAAGAAATTTAAAAAAGAATGTAAAGGACACAGTATTATCATAAAAGGAAGAAATTTTGTTGCGGTTGATATTTGTGTCTGGATAAATAATCGTAAAAAGTAGATGAGAGTACTTAAATTATTGTATTATTGAACTGTACATCACCATGATCACTTCGTATCTAAACAAGTTTAAGTTAACTGAGTTAGGGGAGTGGTAAATGCTAGTGGTTTACAAAAGAAATATAGGAGAACATTATCAGTGGGTATTAATATAAAATAATTAAGTCAACACAAAGAATTATTTTAAAGGTGTAAAATCAAAATCATATAGATATGATCGATTTTTTATTCAGGTTCCTTCGTACACACAGACATAGAGAATTGAAATATTGTAGCCTTTGAAAAAGATAATTGATTAAAGATTAATTAAAAAAAAAAACAAAAAAAAAAAAAAAAAAAAAACTTTTAAATAATCTTGACTCGGGTAATTTCCTTTTCTATCAGACGTGAAATGGGAATATCACCCCAAAAATGCTTGCACAGAAGTAACATAAAAAAAATCTATAAAAAATAAAAAATGTCATGACAGATTTTTTAAATAATGCAGCCATTTACTAGAAATAAGGCTTTCTATTTACTTAAAAATCTTTTAGAAATACACAAAAGGAAATAATAAATAAAATGAGAAAAAAAAAAATGAAAATCAGTTTTAGGATACTGAGTTTTTCAGAAAAGGACAGGGTAAAACTGTATCGTACAGTGAAGTACAGGATAGAGTACTGTGGAATACTGTGCTGTACTGTAATGTACAGTATATGTGTACAGGGATAAACAGTAACGTACTGTGAAGTACAGTAATCTGTACAGCTAAAATCTGTGACGTACAGTGGAAAGCAGTGACTGCGTACTGTGGAGTAATGTGGAGTACTGTGATGTACAGTGGAAGCGTACTGTGAAGTACAGTGAGGTGCTGTGAAATGCAGTGCTTCTGTACAGTAATGTACTGTAATGTACTGTGTTATACAGAGGCAAGTACAGTAATTTACAGTGAAAGTACAGAGTGTATCAGAGATTTTCAGAGAATAATCAGAATATCAGGGGATTTTAAGTCCAGTAGTGTATATTTACACCTTCCAGTAAAAATTAATAGATTTCTTTTCTAAATTTCAGGCATGTGCCTATCAAACAGCAAAAGCAAACTGATACACTGATCAACGAAATAACTCCCCCCCCCCCCCCCCGCACACACACACACACACAAACACACATACGTGACCACGCGCGTTTCTAATTTGCAATACCTATGATTTGGATATCAACTGATTTTAAATGGCCAATGAAATCAATATATGATAAAATCAGATCTAATGAAAAAATTAGCATATGTTTATTTTTCCTTTTGTTCATTTTTTTGCATCTGTTTTCTTCATCCAGTACTCAATTGAAAATTATTCTCAACCTGACTCACTTAAAAGTGTGTTATTACATTTTGTGTTGTTGCATTTTGCATAATCTCGACGCAAAATGTAACAACGCAAAATGTAAAAACATACTTTTTAGGATTATCACATTTTACATTATTAGATTTGCGTTGATCTCGACGCAAAAATGTAGTAACGCAAAATGGATAATCCTAAAAAGTATGTTTTTACATTTTGCGTTATTGCATTTTGCGTTGATATGGACGCAAAATGTAATAACGCAAAATGCAATAATCCCGGTTTATTACATTTTGCGTTGTTATTACATTTCGCGTTGTAACAGACCAGGTTTTTCAACAACCTGTTCGAAAATGCGATGGGCCTAATAGTGATCCATATAGCCTACCTGTTTTATAGTTCTATGAAAGAGAATTTATTTACGAAAATCTTCTAGAGAAGAAGAAAACGCTTCAACTCGACATTTAGATATATCGAGGACGTTTTATTAATTAAAAATGGTTACTTTCATTCAAATGTCGACTCGATATATCCTACTGAACTCGAAATAAAAGACCCCACAGAGTCGGCCACATCTGTTTCATATTTTGATATTTTACTGATTATAGACAATCACGACCTACAAATATATGTAACTGGACTGTATAAGTAAATAAGGATAGAGGATTTTAAGTTTTAGTCTCTAAGTTCGAAAATGAAAAAAAAAACCTACTTACTTCCATTGCAGTAGGAATTTATCCATCCGTCTGCACAGCCTCCTAGACAATATCCGTTGATTTTGTTGCAAGGTATTCCTCCTGCACAGTGTCCACTGCAATTAGACCTGCACTCCATGCCAAAGTATCCGTTATCACATTCTGAAGTGATAATAAAACACATATGCATCTAAGAATGCAATCATCGATAGGTGCAAATGCAGTTACTTTGACTGAATTTTGTATCACTTGTCTTCAACAATCCTGATTCACAATTTTAGAAGGAAAGGAGCCTGTAACGTGGTAACATTCCCAGATTTATAATGCGACATTGCCTCTTTCAAATAAGTATTTCCGATTGTGTTTGGAATAAAGGGTTCAGACAAAGAAATTAAACAGGACAATTTCTATTTTATTTCTACTGATTATAGACTCAACGTAATTGACAGTGACACTAGTATATGGAATTTTGTTAATGACTCATTGTTAAGATTTGGATTAACCCTTGTACCCTAGGCGTGCAAGGATTACTCTAGAAATGAAGCATGCTATGGAGGCAGTCATCTCGGTTCTTCACATACCCCATGTGCAATACCATTTTATTTTTTTTTATCAGCAGACATACATATAACAAATAAATGATTGTTAAATTTGCCACTAATTCACAGGAAAACTAGGAGTAACAAAACAGTGTAACAAAAATTTATTAAGTTAACTATGATAGTAACCTATAGTTTACTATTGTTAACTATAGTTTACTATAGTTAACTACAGTTTACCATAGTTAACTATATTTAATGCTTTGATAATTTGATTTACTATGATTTTCTTTTTCATTTTTGGGAGTTCGAAGATAATAATCTCTTAAATTCCATAACACTTATATAAGATTTGCAAATAATTTGTGAATATACAGGTATAATTTTTCCATTCAATATAAAAATGTTCATGTATGGATAGGGAAAACTATAGTCAACTTTAGTATTTTTTTGGCGAGAGATAAATTGGTTCCACATTTAAAGAGCTAAAGCCACGAACCATCAAATTTGGCCCTGTGTTTTTCACAAAAATAAAGTTTCGATTCAACAAGAGTACTATACATTAAATGTTAGAGGACACCATACTTGTTTTCCATACGTAACTTATTTTGTTAAATAATGCGCCATTAGGCACGTGCGACGGTTGGAACATGCGACGGTGTGATAAAAACGTTATAAAATTTTTTCGACATATTTTCCAAAAGTTAGATGTAGCCTCAGTCAAGAACAACTTTTATACTTACCATAGATATAGATATTGCCGATGCAATTTTTTATGCTTTTTATCGTTGTTGTTCGTGGGTGTGGCCAATATAAAATTTGATTTTATATTTAAATTTTGATGCATCAAATAATCACTAATTTGTGAGTCAATCGTTAACATTCAATTCATACAACAATAAAAAAATTATACATTTCACAAAATATGTGAGAAAAGCAATTTATTCTTCGTTTAAAACGCTTATTGTGGAAAAAACCCTAAGAATAATCATTTTCTGAAATAAATATCTGGCAAAACATGGTTTTTATTGTGAATAGGTCCATTGTACATGACATTACTAATAATACGTCAGTTGTGACGTCATAAAGGCTCTAAACTACTTGGAATGTTGCTGAAAAGTTTTTTATGATCTCAAATGCTGTCATTATTGGTATGATTTAAGCCCAACTGGATGATACCATCAAATTATTAATTAACAGAAATTCACGCCAAATTGTTTTCTTTACTCCCCTTAAGAGCATGTCTACGAGAAAACCATGCAAAAAGTGGTGGGAGCAAGGTTCTCCAATCAACTTCATGTTTTGTGTGTGAATTTCTCATAGAATATGAAATATTTTGCCACTAAAATTTTTTCAGTATGGTCTCACTTAATGGGGTTATTCAACGCTGTTACTAAAAATAGAATTGTTGTCCTTACACAGGATGAAAACGGGATTATTTTAGGATTTTATATTTAAAAATTCAGCATTTAATTTAATAATGATATAAAATATCCATATATGGTAAAAGGTAACAAGATACACTTGTTTCAGTAATTTTTTCTTAATCACAAACTGTGCCTCCGTTTAAGTGCAGAAAGGTCACAAATCTGGCATATTTCCAGATTTAAAAAAAAAAAAACTGGTGAAAATATTCACTTTTCAAAAACCTATAACTCAGAAAGTGACACTTAGAATTAACTCAATCTCATGTCTGTCTACATTATTTAAAAAATTGGTCTTTGGACTCTTAAGTTTTTTGTCTATATTTTTTACTTAAAGTTGGACATTTTTTTTTCAATTTTCAAATTATCTCATCCCTGAACTTCAGCAACGAGTTTCATAATGGCTTTTTGCTTAGTTAACTATTTTCAAAAATTAAATTTTGTTGTTGAAAAATATCAGCATGGAGTACATTTTCTGTTTTTAACCAATTTTAAGTATTTCTTAGGGGGTTGAATGGGGTGGGGGGTGGGGTGGGGGGTAATTACCAGAATTCTATAATTTTATGTTTTCTTTGAAAAGGATGACATTCACATACTTCTTAGCACCTGTTTGTCAGTCATAGACCAAGTGTTGTGCTCTCTTATCTTAAAAAAACATTTGCTTGACAGACAATAAACTTAGTACACTGGTACCCAGTAATAAGTAGATGTCCCCTTTTAATTTGAAGATCACAAGGTCAAAGGTGAAGGGTTATACTTCTCTAGATATACTAGTATGTAGATTTTAATCATTCAAAAACTAGAGGACCCATTGCTTGACTGACATCAAATTTAGTACACTGGTTTGTTGAAAAGTAGATGACCCCTCTAGATTTTGAGGTCACAAGGTCAAAGGTCAAGGGTCAAACTGGACGAAAAAGAATACATACATTTCTTAATTTCTTAAATTCACTACACTTCTTTCCTACAGAGAGATGCCATTTTTCAAACTTTAGGACATGTTGCTATGGTAACCATGACACGTAGCAACCAATTTTTGCCTGATTTGAGTTTACGGTATCAAAGACTTTTATTATAGAGAGTTTGGAGAAATTCTGAGACTATGCGTGCCACAGCTCCTATATAAAAGTTCAAGTCATTACAGAGAATGGCTCTTAAAACATCTATACAAAATACCCTAAAATATTGGTCACTACGCAAGCTTCTTCAATCATAAACTGTCTTTTTTCTTTTTATTTCTCCATTACTGGTACACCATCTGCAGGTTGACTCCGAGGGCTCAAGCTTTCAAAAGATATGAGGTGTACCCAAACTATTCTGTACAGTATGACCCCATTTTCTTCCTCTGTAGCGTCCAATAAGTTCTGGAGAAAATTTAACAAGCACTGAAATTTTCACTCCTGGTGCAAAGAACAACTGGTCTGTCTCCAAAAAGACTTAAAGTAGTACTCAAAGCATGTACCTGTAACAAAGGACAGTTTTTAGATTAAATTGAAATAAACAATACTAGACCACGTATTCTAAGATTTTTTTTAGATAAATGTCATATTTATGATAATGCTGCATTTATATATTCAATTTAAGAAAATGTAATCAAATGACTTGGGTGAAATTCTTCACAAACTCTTCTGGCTATCTTTGTAGAAAACAAGAGCTTCTAATCTTCTTTGAAGCAAAGTAAGAGAGTAGGGAAAAACTGCATGTGGCAAATCGACAGACAGACATGGCAATTCCTATATTTATACTTTCTCTATACTTCTCTGTTTACAGTATATGAATTGCAGTTAGTGTGTGATAGGATTAAATTTAATTTGAAGAAATGGATTGTGTTATAACATATCTTTACCATTTTCTCATCTTTTCAAGCAGTGGCAAGTAATTGGTCATGTTGCATCTGCACTGTCTCTCCTCTTCTTTTTTCTGGATTCTGTAACTACATTGGAAACCCTTCCTACTCATTCTTTATAGCTCCACAGTGGAAAATCCCATTGTAAAGCTGAGCTCTTACCAGGGAAATGGATGTGAATAATCTGAAATTGCACAAGAAATATAAGAATGAAACAAAATGTTCTTTAAAAAGTATAATTTCCCAGTCTATATTTATAATATTAGTTGTTTTAAACACAAACCTGTCAAGGAACACATGGTGACCTTTGAAATTGAAAAGTCTGCACAAGTGTTTGACAACTCTTTTTCCTCGTGATCTTCCATGAAAAAAAATGAACTTTTCCATAAAAAGCCAATAATCATAACAGTAGCCATTTTCATCACATCTCATAAATATTTGAAAAAATATATTGTGTTTCATTAGATTTCTTTTAGCTGCAGAACTGTAGCTCTCCGAAAAAAAATTGACAGACCGGAGAGCTACAGTGCCACCCATAGAAAAAACTGTATATTTATTGCGCACAAAAAGTTGCTCTCGGTTCTGGATTTATTTCTCCAAATTGTTACCTCAACTGCACAAAAGCTTGATTTCAAAAAATTCCTTAGACCTCTATCAACTTCTTTTGTAGTTGACATCTTTACCAAGCGCGTTTGGCCGAATTGTCTAGCCACACAAAATGGCAGTATTAACAGGCGAAATTTTGGATGGTCTTAATTTCAGGCCCAGGAGCGCTATTAACAAAGATTATAGGAAATGTTTTGATGTGGGAATAGTGCAAAAATGTGTTAGGAACACATGGTCAGTAAAATTTTGAGATTGCAGTTTAAAAATACGGAGAAATAAATCGAAAAACAGCGCATTTTTTGTGCGCAATAAATATACAGGTTTTCCTCTGGGTGGCACTGTAGCTCTCCGGTCTGTCAATTTTTTTTTCGGAAAGCTACAGTTCTGCAGCTAGATTTCTTTATAATCATTCATCCATCATATGAGGCATTACTGGTGATTTAATTGACAGTGAAGATCCCCTATCCAATTCTTGATTTACCCAATTACTAAACAATCTTCGAAAACACCTGGACCTATTCAACTTCTCCCTCCCTCTTCATCACCCCAAAAAGACTACATATTTTATAATTCTGCAGATGTGAATATGTCGCATATGTATTTTGCCATATTGTTGAATTTATACAGATATTTTTATTGCTACCAACCTTGAAATATCTCTTGACAGGTTTGTTAGGCATATATTGTCTTGCAAAAAAATCTCTTGTATATAATCATGCTCTCATCAACAGCTTGTTTCATTATTTT